TTCAAATTCTGGATAGGGGGTTGCTAGAGATTGTAGTTGGGTAGTGGGTACGTTTGTGAAGGATGATAAGCCAACTAATGACATGGCACTGAATCCTGAGCCTAACATGGGGTCTTGCCATCCAATAATTGCAACCAACTTATTATGGGACCACAATTGATGAGTTGGGTCGACCTGGTGAAATTATCATCTTCAATGCCATATGCATAGCAAGATTACTTAATGACCACTAAGCAGACTATATCAAATGACTAATCTATTGACAATCAAGGAATTACTAAGCCAAAACTGGTACTGGTAAATTGTGTCCCAGGTTGATTGGGAAGTATCACAGTGGGGCTGGTCACATTACAATCCAACACCTGGGTGTGCAATTGCTGTGGGGCAATGTTAAATTCAGCAGTCCATGTAATGTATCATTAAATTTATTGGGCCATCATCAGCTAATGAAATGGTGAATGCAATTGGCAATAAATAGCGTGTAATCATGAATGCTATATGTCCATGTTGCTGGTTAATCATCATCAGTGAGTTGGTTAGCCATCATCAGTCATATGCGACATTCATTAGCAACTTGTTATGGTAGTCATTATCAATGTAGATGGTAATCATCATTGATGGTTTTGGTAAGTCATGATCCAAAATGTCTAGTTATTTGGTGGTAGTTATCAAATGTTATCAATAATTTTGGGTAATCATTATCAATGACAATCTTTATCAGAAAATGTGGTAATCATTTTCAATGGTTTTGACTAATCATGGTCAATGGCCCAGGGTAATAATGATCAATAGTTAGTGCAAGGAATAATTACCAATTACTTTACTTCGTGTGATCCCCACCATGACATTTATATGCTTTGTTACTGGCAAATCTTCTGGCATTCTGTCTGACATATCTTCTGGCATTCGATCTGGCAATATCTTGTGGCACTCTACCTGGCATCTCTTCTGGCATATGTTCTGGCATATCTTCTGGCATTCTATCTGGCATATCTTCTGACATCCTATCTGGCAAATCTTCTGGCATTCTATCTGGCAAACATTCTGGCACTTTATCTGGCATACCTTCTGGCATTCTATCTGACATTCTATCTGGCATATCTTCTGGCATTCTATCTGGCTGTTGAGGTCCAGCAGTGCACACTGAGCTGGGCAGGTCCCAGGTTGAGGTCCAGCGGTGCACACTGAGCTGAGCAGGTCCCAGGTTGAGGTCCAGCGGTGCACACTGAGCTGGGCAGGTCCCAGGTTGAGGTCCAGCGGTGCACACTGAGCTAGGCAGGTCCCAGGTTGAGGTCCAGCGGTGCACACTGAGCTGGGAAAGTCCCAGGTTGAGGTCCAGCGGTGCACACTGAGCTTGGATGTTGGCAAAAAGCTTGGCGAAGAGTTGGCAGGGCAATGGTGGACGTGGAAGTGGTGGTAGACGAGGAGGAGGAGCAGGAGTAGAAGGAGAAGGAGGAGGAGGAGGAGAGCTAGCCGAGAACAGCTCTGATAAAATCTAACAACCCTCACCTGGCAGGTGGGGAATAATGCAGGGTAATAATCATCAATAGTGCAGGATAATGATTAGCAAAAATGCTGGGTGATAATTATCAGTATTGCATGGTAATAGTCATCAATAATGATATACAAGGTGATCATTATCAACAATGTGTGGTAACAATTTCCAATAATTAATCATTATCAATAATGCAGGGTAGTAATTGTCAATAATGCAGAGTCACTATTGAAATTGATCAATCTAATTTTGTGATCATTGATCATTGTCAATGAATTTGGGTAATCACTATATATCAGCCATATTGGGGTAATGCAGTACTACTTGGTTAACGCCTGATTCGCGGCCGTGGTGAATTTGGCAATGTCGTGAGTAGAAAATCAGCACGCCGCTATGGCGAAACGATGATTTTGCACATGCAACATGTGAAAATGCCTCATCGCCGTTTTAGAAAACAACTTGTTTTTTGGACTATCATCATCATCATCACCATCATCATCATCATCATCACCATCACCATCACCATCACCATCATCATCGTCATCATCATCACCATCATCATCATCACAATCACCATCACCATCATCATCATCATGACCATGGTAATGATCATCGAATCGTCATCATCATCATCATCAGCATCATCATCATCATCACCATCATCATTATCCTCATCATCATGATGATCATCATCATCATCATCACAAGAGACGTGTTGATCGTAGCATGAAGAGTGCATAGCGAAGTACCAGAGACGTGTTGAATGTAGCATGACGCGTGCATAGCGAAGTACCACAGACGTGTTGAACGTAGCATGAAGCGTGCCTAGCAAAGTACCACAGACGTGTTGACCGTAGCATGAAGCGTGCCTAGCGAAGTACCACAGACGTGCTGAACGTAGCATGACGCGTGCATAGCGAAGTACCACAGACGTGTTGATCGTAGCATGAAGCGTGCCTAGCGAAGTACCACAGAAGTGTTGAATGTAGCATGACGCGTGCATAGCGAAGTACCACAGACGTGCTGACCGTAGCTTGAAGCGTGCATAGCGAAGTACCACAGACGTGTTGAACGTAGCATAAAGCGTGCATAGCGAAGTACCAGAGACGTGTTGAACGTAGCATGAAGCGTGCCTAGCGAAGTACCAGTAAATAGCAACCAGAACCAGTAGCGCTTAAAAAATGCCCCTGAGTACTGGCACAAAAAATGTATATTTCAACATGTTTCAACTTCTCACAGACACAAATAGTTCAAACACAACTCACCAACCAGAAGTCACAAACCACAACTCACCAACCGCAACTCGCAACCCACAACTCAGTTTGAAACAGAAACTTCTAGAACTGCAACCTTTCCTCCTGTGATGGCTTACCGCCTGTGGGTTGGTGGCTTTTCAAGCTGGCGAACAGCAGACGAGGTTGGCCAGCGGTGCTTCCAGAAATCAGGCATTTGGCCTCAAGCTGTGGATATCAAGTGGAGAGGATGGGAGGCCACCAGATGCTTGAGGGAGATCCGTCGAAACCCTGAGATGTGGGGGCACACCAAAATGGTCACAGGATTCGCAGGGCGCGACTTTTACCACTTCGAAGGCATACCCAGCTCGGCCGCCACAATGGCCACCTGGGCTTCCTGCGCCACCCCCACCACCTAAAGCCCCAGCTGCCTCGGCATCCACCAACTCAGACCCAGTGGTCACTCCATCGGCCACTCGGCCACCACTGGTCACTCCATCGGCCACTCTGGCTGTCGCGCCCGCAACAGCTCCTGGAGTGATGACACCAGCACCTGTGGCGGTCGAGGAGGCTGAGGGCAGAGGTGCCACGGCACAAGGTGCCACTGAAGAAGAGCATGAGGAAGTGGAGGCGGAACCGTCCCCGGAACCTGAAGGTGGAGGACCGGGCACAGAGATGACAGAGAGTGTGACCTTGTCAGAAGAGACGTTGGATCTCGAGTCAGCTTCAAGCCACCCAACTGAGGTGCCAGAAGGATAGGAAGAAGTGTTTGCATGCTGGGAAGTTCTTGGTGGTGGTTGTGGTGCTGGTGCTGTCTAAGTAACATTGAAGCAGCTGCTTGCCTAAGTAATATAAGTAGCATGATGTGCCTTGCCTAAGTAACATGAAGCTGGATTTCCTTTGTTTTGCCTAAATAGCATGTTCTGGAAAGATGCCATGCAAAATCACTGAAAAAAGAGTGCAGCCACACGGCGGCAAGCTGTTCAACACGTCGACATTCGACAAGGTGAAAATCGAAAGATGGCCAACTGTTGCACTTTACTTAAACGAATTACTAAGTTGAAAATTGTAAATTCAGAGATCAGATCAAGGATTCACTCTCCTACCTGGAAAGGTATTCCCCGAAGGGTTCATGCCACCGTGACGAATCCAGCATGAATCACAGACTTGCTCAGAACAATCTTTGCGAATTTTGATGTGGAACGCATCGTGCGTGCAAAAACACTCGAATTACACCTGACAGGAATGGGTCGGTGAAATGACCCGAGAAACATCGAAAAGGAATCATCGCCATGTCCAGTGCTAGAAGAAATTAGTTGACAGATTGCGACAGCAGTGCAGCGAAACAGGAAAAACAGAAGCCAATTGTTCGACATGCCAGTTCTTGGCTTAGCCGGTTGCCATTGACGATAAATTGGAAATTTGCAGGTACACGGAGGTGATCAATCTCCGCTTCCCCCATTGTGGAATAGCTTCGTTGGCACAGGTATCCACAATGGCTGTGCCCCCTGCAAATGAGTTGAAGTTTTACACCTATTCAGATGGTTCACACACACAGACAGACAGACATACATACATACCCAGATAGATACATAGATACATACATACATACAGACATACAGGCAGACAGACATACACACATACACAAATACATACACACACATACACACATACACACATACATACACACACACATACACACACACATACATACACATACAGGCACATACATACACACATACACACATACACACACATACACACAGACAAACATACATACATACAAACATACATACATACAGACATACATACATACATCCTTACATCCATACATCCATATATATAGCTACATAGATACATAGATACATAGACACATAGATACACCGATGCATAGATACATAGATACATAGATACACACATACATAGATACATAGATACATAGATACGTAGATAGGTAGATAGGTAGATAGGTAGATACATAGATACATAGATACATACAAAGATAGATAGATAGATAGATAGATAGACAGACAGACAGACAGATAGATAGATAGACACATACATAGATACATACATACATACATACATGCATGCATGCATGCATACATACATATATACATACATACATACATACACGCATACACGCATACACACACACATACACACATACACACACATACACACACATACACACATACACACACATACACACATACACACATACACACACATACATCAGAGAGGGAAAAAACAAAGCACGTTTTTCAGATGACATGCCACAGCAGTGTTCAGATGAGGTCGAGGCCATCCCAGCGGATGAATGCGATGAAGACCCTGGTTCCTGCGCTTTGATTCTTCAGATGCACCCCAGGTACTCCAGAATCATCCAGCTTCATCAGCTTCAGTGCTCAACCTGGTTGTGCGGATGATCCATGGCATCCCGTCCCTAAGGAGTGCCTTGCAGCTGAAGACAGAAACGGAACCTACGCCCGGAAAGCCGGGAACCATTTCGGTGGTCTTGGCCACAGAGGACTCCCGCCGGCTCTGGTTCTTGTTCAGAAACGGTGGCTACAATTGGGGTGTCATTAGCATCGGTCTTGAACTTTTGTGAGTCATCGTTTCTTTGTTTCATGATGATGATGCTGATGCTGATGATGATATGTGCATTTGTCTTTATATGGTTACATATGGTCTATGGCTAAAGACCGTGTATTTTCATGTGTTTTCATACATGCATACATAATCATACATACACATATATATATATACAATACCGAAATGTGTTCCAATCTATTCAACCTATTCACTTCTGAGTTTTTGTTGGGTTTTTCCGAAAACATCAACAGCAGTGATAAACAAGATGACCAATGTAGAAACATAACAAGCGCACAATGAACAGATATTCCCCATAGACACACAATCACCATTTTTCTCAGATTTATTTGGACATGTCCCAGACATTCCCAGCGCATAGAACCAAGCTCGGGATAGGTTTCCTCACCGAGATTCGACTTTTTTTTTGAAATTACTGGGCAGAACTTGCACTGTCAATAAGATTCAATAAGTACATATAGGATCATATAGGCACCAGGACAGGCGATTTTGACCAGATTGGTGGATAGCTAATTGATGCTACTTAATTACATCGATATACATTCGTGATATTTGCAGAATACTGGTGCCTCTTCTTCAGCTCTGCGGTTTTGCTGAAGACATTTGCGCCAGGATGCTCTGGGCCACACTAGCCAGGCGTTTGGAAGGGCGGACCTTGGTGGTGTTGGAAGAGGAGATGATCCATGTACTGTTTTGGTGGCTGCTAAATGCAAACCATGTATGTTACAAGTGTAGTTTGTGTTTCATGTTTTGGTAGACCAAACATGAAGCAACACGCACAGAATAACATGAATAACAAGCAACTAAACTAACTAAACCAGAAAATCCGCCCACACCGCTTTGGCGGTGAAGGCGTGCTTATTGGGGGGCAACAGCAACACTAAATGCTCAATGACATTTGTTAATATAGCAGTCGCTATATCAGCTTTAGCTGGGGGGGGGCCCAAAAACGGTTTCGCACCGAGACCAGACCCCAAAAACGGTTTCGCACCGAGACCAGAATACGGTGGTGTTTTCGACATTTTTCGAGGATTTTTGGGTGTCTGAGCGCAAGAGGGTATTGAAATGGAATTTTGGGTCATTTTGGTAGCTTTCCGGCAATGGAAAAACGGCCAAAAATGAAAAAAACATTGTACATAGCAAGATTTTGCAGGGTTTTTGGATGCCAGAGCATTGAAAACACTGCAAAAACAAGTGTTTTGGACTGACGTTATAGCAAAAAACGTGTAAATTACCGTATGCTTGACTGGAAACATTACAAAAACACTGTCAAAAGCAATGTTTTGGAAGGATTTACTGCCTTTATGGCAAAAAACGTGTAAATTACCGTCTGTTTGACTGGAAACATTGGAAAAACACTGTCAAAAACAATGTTTTGGAAGGATTTCTTATTGAAACTTCTTAGCTTGAAGAGCCCCCACGGGGGAAAACCACCCTTAGCCCCTCTCACGGACCGAAATAAACCTGCGGTGTGGGCGGCCACCCCACGCGAAGCGGGGTGAATATTTCGACATTCGTTTGAAACATTCGTTGGGAAATTTGGAGGCGAGAAAACCCTCAGATGATGAGAGCCAAAGCGGCCAAAGCGTCACGCTGCTGGAAGGTGGGCCCCGTTCCCAGCAAGCGGTGCGTTTAAAGGTTTTTTGATTTTTCTGTTCAGCTCGAAAAACCGCTATGTGTCATCATGTGCTCTAAAGAGGAATTACTTACAAGACCTGTGAAAAGTGGCCGATTTTTCTGCCCATGAATGGAAATGAGTACAAAGCAACTGCTTGGTGCTTTGGAGTTTGGCCCCAGTCATCACCGACTAGGTGGCCAAGACAGCGAGACACTCAACAGGCTGCAGGTCAGTGCAACTATTCCAACAATTTCCCACGCGTTTCCCACGGCCTGTGTGGATGTGGCTAATGTGTGTTTGAAAATAGCATACCCCAACTTTGATGGTCAAACATTCAATCATCATTTCCCGCAATAAAATTGCCATTTTGAGGTATCCCGCACTTTCAGACAAACCCATTCCAACTCTGTCATTCTGTTTTCCATCTCCACTTTTGGCGCAGATCTTTCAAGCAATGTCAAGCTGGGTGGTCAAGTGGTTTGGTGGTCATTCTTTACAGCACAGGGTAGCTGCCTGCTGCCGTTGCGCTGCCGGTGACGTTGGCTTTTCAGCCACAGGTCAATGTGATTTCTGTTTCTTGGACTGAAGGAATTGCCAGCCTTCATTTCCATGTAAAGTGCTGCTGGTGTTGGAAATTCCACTAGAGATCCTGTCAAAACAGAGTTTTTTCACAGCTTGCCTGCGCAGTTGCCAATGGGTTTGTCTGAAAATGGGGCATACAGGCCCCAAAATAGCCCATTAATTGGTGAAACACAATGATAAACAATCATAAACCATGATAAACCATGATGAACCATTGGAGGAAAGGTTTTTTGTTGGGACATGGCAGTTTTGTCCCTTAGGCGAAGGGCAGGTAGCATCCAAAGTCGCAGCGCCAAGGGAATGTCAAGAGATGCTTGGCCTCAGTATGCAATGAAGAGAGGGTCAACTTCAACATTATCCAACTCTATAATTTTTTTTTGGCCCTCAGAATCTTGTGTTTCTTCCCTGATGTTTGTCTGAGTTTAGGCGGATTGATGTGACTGGTCAAATTTCCAATTGGGAGAGCGATGTCGATTTTGGGTTTCTTCTGTGTCAAGGCGGCTGTGGACCGAGGCCTTCCCTTTTGCAGTCGGCTAGGACAGCATGCGCGCAGAAGTGTGGCAAGCAGTTCAGGCCAGACGAATGGTGGCCATTGGTGGCCCTTCTGGATAGATGTTTCATGATTTTCTATGAAGATATATATTATATTCTGGAAGATGGACCTCCAAAGACCCCTGGAGACACCAAGAAATGTCAGGTCCAGTCCACTTTTTTAGTGCCTACCTTGGTGTGTCATCACCCGTCCAACTTATGAACCAAGATATCTCAAGTTATTCCAAGATTCTGCAGGCGCAGGAGCTGGTATCCTGCTGGCTTTGCGTGATGGCGCCATGGTGCCATGATGTGCCATGGCCGCCATGGCTGTTTGGATCGACGATCCGACTCTTGAAATGTCATGCAAACTGTTGGATCTACCCTCTGGTAAACTAACATAACTATATGGAAAATCACCATTTTTAATAGGTACACCATCTATTTCTATGGGCCATTTTCAATAGCTATGTTAAATTACCAGAGGGTATGATGCCCTCCAACCTGGGGGCTATGGACAGCTGGATGTTTGACTGAGGCACAGATGCCAGGAATGCATCAGCGGCTCGCCTTCAGCAGTTGAGCTCAGATCGTGGTTTCACACGACTTAGAGGTAAAGGATGTGATGCCACCTGCTGATGAACAGCAAGGCCATCTAGTTTGCATCAATTTTCCGAGAATTTTGTTTCGGAGGGCTGCTTCACCCACTGCCTCAGGGTCATGTATACCAGCATGTTGGCAGCGTGTTGCCACATGCGGTGAATAGCCACCGCACAAGGCTTTGGAGCAAAAGTTTGGGAACACGGGCGCTCCTGCAATGACCAAAATGGGCGCTGAAAATTGGGGAGACACTTTTAATCTGTTTAATCGGAAAATGATTTAATAATATTTAATAATCATGATGATCCATTGGGTCTAAGGGTTTCCCTATTCCTAGACAAACCCATATATTATTTCCGCTATCCAGCAGGGCTGAGCATATCTGAGCATCAGATTGAGCGGCAGGAGCAGAGGAAGCTGTTCGCGTCCCTCAAGAGTGGAGTTGTGGTGGTGTGGCGCCTGAGGGTATGGGATTTTGATGGATTTTGAGTGTGGGATCAATGCCACAACCCCCAGGTCATCACCCCAATTTGGCAAAGAGGATGCTAAAATTATGGTAAATGGTTGGGGGTCACTTTGCTGGGTCACTTTCCTGGATACCCTGATCTTTCTCCTTGGCAAGGTGTACGACACCTCCATTTTGCCTATGCAGAGAGTTGCCAGCATACCGGACAGTGAGCAGCCTCAGGACCACCAAGAGTGACCAGGTGGAGGTTTGTGAAGATCATTGGTTGCTTCATGTGGGATATGTCGGCTTGTCTGAAAATGGAACCCCTTGATTTACGGAAAATTGTTCAATAGGGAAAACAGTGGAAACCAGATAACAACCGATGGGGATAAAGGGTGTGTCCTATTTTCAGGTGAAACCACATAGGTTAGACCATGTTGAACATTATGGCATATTATGGCTGGCATTTTCCCATGACAACCAAAAGTTCAATCTGGCGATATCCAGTTCCTTATTCCCATATAAAAAAAGAAGGACTACATCCCGGTGTTTGTTTTTGGTATCCATCCCTGTGGCTATTCCATTAGATTGTTTCTTGTATCCTATGGACATAGTCCCAACCCACTTGAGACATGCGCAACATCCTTTGCTAGCACAACAATGATCATGAATAGCAATAATGACAACGGTAGCAAAATTGGCAATAGACATAATCACAGCAATAAGAATAATAAGATGGTTTCAGACAATGACAATAATACAGGGAAACACCTCAAGTTGTCCAAGGCACTTTCAAAACATTGTAAATAACAGGTCATTCTGGCATTCCTGAAAAGCTCAGGTAGGGTGTGTATGCGTCACTGCGTCAGTCATCTTGAACCCGAACACCCCCTAAACCCTAAATCTAAAAATATAATCTCGAAAAATCAAGGGAAAACCTTAAACCAAAGCACCTAAACCCTAAAACCATCTAAAACCTTAATACCTGAAGTCTTAAATCTTCAAACTTTACAAACCTAAAAGTGATGTTGGGAGAAATGAGGTGTCTGAGGGCAAACGCACACACTAATATAATCACACGCACAATATATATATATATACATATACATGCTGCATTTACATATATATATATATATGTATAACATATAACACACACACACACATATATATATATATAGACAAACTCAAGTTGAACTATGCGTATATACACATGTTATTGCATATATAGGTAAACAGATTTATATTGCTACATACATATTATCTCTCCATACATATGTAAGCTATATACAATTATACGTGTTTTGTTAGTTTACACCTATTCAATTTTGCACGTGCTGATGCTTCCAGGTGGGATTACCAACCCAAATCCTATCACGGCCATGGACTACGATGCCAGCACGGGAACGCTCTTTACAGGGCCAGGGCAGCTCAGTTTTGGCCATCGAAAGAGGGCTGTGACAATGGTCAGAGTCATGTCTCAAAGGGTCATTTCCTGCGACGTTTTTTTCCATTGTTTTTCCAAGTTCTCACAAGTAGTAAAACATGGACCATGTATTCTCCTGTTCCACATTTTTCCATATTTTTCTGAGTGCTCCTGTTTTCCATATTTTTGCAATCCTTTTATCCCACAATTATCTTACTATATCTTACTATACACTAACCGACCTTCCTATGACTTCCGTTGCATCTCTAATAAAACCTATGTGCTGCTCGGATCTTTCTTGCTGGGGCTGCCATTTGGTTCCAACCGGCATCCCCCGCCTAGGTCGAAAGACGGCATCATCCTGTGGACTGTCAAGATGGGTGACATGGGTGGCCCCTTGTCTCTACGGCCGTGAGGAAAGAAAACCATATTTTCCTGGGATTTAAACATGGATTTAAATATGGTATCTCAAGAAAATTAATTACATTTGGTTTTTTTGGGGATTTACATTCACGAAAATTACATTTGTGGAAGTCGAACATCCAGTCCCCGAAGCCCAAGTGGCTTAGCGATCAGACTCCCGACTTGAAACCTGGCTGGAGACTGTCAATTTCTGGCTTCCACCTGGGAGATTGCCTTTCAGGGGAACAATGACGACATCTGATGACAATCCATGTGGTTTTGGGAGTATCTCATTTTAAGACAAACCCCAAATTTCGGAGATTTAGCGGCTAGGTATGAAGGTTGATGTGTCCAAGTATCCACAATTTTCATTGGTCCTACCCATGTCCTACACCCCGTTTCTGGCTATTTACATCCCACGTCTTACAGCTGATCTGGCCGGGAAACTTACAGGACAACCTATGTTTTCACCATCAATTCCATTGGTGTGTCCTCTGTTCCAAGTTTTCTCCATGTGGAGAGTCGCTTGAAAGTCATCAGACACCATGTTAAACTCACTTTATCATATCTTAGACCATGAAAATTCATGACACTTCGGATTTAACCCATAGAAAACACTACAAGACATGGAAATTCACATCATTTCTCCCCATGGAAAGCCGTCCCTTCACAACGGGGCCTGGACTTTGTCCCTTTGGTCCCAGGCTGGGGCCGACGGGTGGCGCAGATCGCAAGCATGGAGGCGCCCACGTCATTGGCCTGGGTCAGCAGCTCAGAATCCCATTGGAAACGGGAAGAAGTAGGGGTGCGGCACCCATGGAAGTCATCACCCACCAGTTTTTTCATCAATGGGCCATGGCTTCCATAGCTATGTTCAATAACCAAGGGAACCAAGGATCATGTGTTTGGTGTATCAGTGGGAAAATCCGATGTTTTTTTTGGGTGAAGAGCCATTACATGAATATTTGGAAGCTGGATTAAAGATAATGAAGTAAGGTTAGTTTGCGATCCATGAGCCACAATCAGTTTTGTCAAGCAGAGGTGGTCTTTCTCTGACTGGTTTTGGAGGGTTGGGACCGCAGGTATGCCACAGGTCACTGAGTCGGTGAAAGAACTTGGGTGAAGTTTTATCTAGCCCAACCTGAAATTTACCCTCCTGTAAACATACAAAAAGATGTGGAACACGCACCATTTGTAGATTTTGCTAGGCTTTCCCCATGGATTATATTGCTGTTCCACATCTTTTTTGTCTGTTTACCTCAGGTATCTACATTTATCAGTTATCATCTGCCATTTCCAGGGTGGTGATACCAATATTGGTGGGGCCAAGGCACAGTCTTCCCGTGAGATCATTGCGGGCTTCGAGAATGGTGCAGTTTCTGGACACAGGGTGGAGATGGCAAGCCTGTGCGCCATGTGTCATGTACATAGTGACATAGTTGCTGATAGTTTTTCATTTGTATGTCTATATATATACATACATATAGATGTAATATGATGTAATTATATGGTCATGTTTATTCTTGTGGACATGTTTTTTCAAATGTGTATAGATGTATATGTGTGCGCGCATCTATCGGTCTTTTTGTGTTTGTGTGTATATGTTTGTATATGTGTTTTCGACGGTATCCATGGTAGATCAATCTTCTTTCTTTTTGTGGGTGAAAAAATAGGCCTGATGCGAAGCCGCCATTCGCCCAGGTCGTTGTGTTTGACATGGACCGCAACCAAGGGGAGCCCAGTTATGCAATCCAGGCCACCGAGCCCATTTTTTCGGAGGGAAAACACCAAGCACCCCGTTGATGCCCCCTTCGAAGGACCTGTAATTGATGCCTAACAACCATAAGATCCATAAGGAATATAGTTTCCCATAGGCTTTCCATGATATTCCCATTGCCATAGTTTTCTCATAGGATTCCCACAGGATTCCCATGGTCTGCCCACTGTCAAGGCACATGCCGATGGTGTCACAGCCGTCCGGGTGCACAAAATGTTGCATTGTTATCATTGTTGACTATTATATACAGCTACTGTATATTTGATGGGGTTATAAACCAACTCACAACTGGGGTTATAAACCACCTTGTTGTTGATTTTGGAGATGATGTCTTGAAAATTGTGGAGAAATCGTAAGAAATCCATGCTGGATGATTGTGAAGTTGGGTTATGGAGTTTGGGTGCTGATCATGTCTATCATTAAGTAGTCATTGGGTCACCTGGAACTGGAACCATAATATGAAAAAAAATACAACTACTAAACTGACTAAACTGACTGAACTAGAGCTTGCGGTGAACCATAACTTGTTCCAAATCTTTCCACAAAAGGTTGGCACTCCTGCAGCAGTTGCAGTGATGTGAGGTGAAATGGCTTGATGCTCCACGGCGGTTGTTCACAGCATCAAAGGCGCTTGGAACTACGCTGTGTTAAAAGTGGTGTTCCCATCACTCACATTCTGGGCTCCAGGAAAAAAGTACTTATTTTATATCAAAGGGGTTCACTATATGATGGGTGATTTTATATCAAAAGTTTATTAATCAAGTGCTCTCAACTCAAACCTGATCAAAGGGCTTCAGGGCCAAATCAGTGGCCCCCAAACCTGACGCGTGGGGCCATCATCCAACCATTTTGACCAGCCACTACGAGGCCAATTTGACGTACCAGTTGAGATTCACTGGTGTCGCAGGATAAGACTCTGAAAATCTGGGACTTTCCGTCAATGCAAAGAGCTGACACCTCAGTGTTGAGGGACTCCGCGTGTTTTGGGCGAAGTCTTTTTTCAGCCTGTTTGGGACATGGTTTTTTTTTCCATGTTTTCTGTATTTATTCTTTTTGGTAGGGCCACACAGGTGGTGGGCTGGGTTGGGCATGATCAAGCCGCCAATTTTTGGCTCCGACTTTCGCAAGGGCTCGGGGGGTGGTTTATTTTTGACGATGTCCCATGATTTTTGCCTTTTGAATCGTTTTACACATTTTTACACATTCTCACCAGCCTCCATATTTATCATAGCTTGCATTCTCATGAAATTCAGCCCTCTGGTGGATTTCTCCAACTTCGGCTGTCCCAGTGCTTAGCGGCGCGGAGCCATGCAGCTCCCAGTGCATCCAGTGGCCGTTCTTGCTCGTCCGAGCGACGAGGCGAAAACCTCCAGTTTCCGAGTGAGATTGGGGGCTTATGACTGGCTTAACCATACTATCGCTTATAACTCATAGCCAACCAACCAATCGAAACACGTATTCAATCGTATTCACCCAGATAGCTTCAGCTATATAGGTGTTGAATGATGTTGATGCTTCTCTATGAATCCAGTTGTGTCTCACCATCCGATGGAAGTGCTATTTGCAGTCTATGCTGGTGTAATTGTGTATGTTATATGAGCATATGTGCACCTATCATCCTGGTATCATGCAAATATGACATAATATGACTGACAGGTAGTTTCAAACGTTTCTTGTTTTCCACCCTTCCTCAGGTGATGATCTTTTTTAAGTAATACCTGGTGAACACCTAATTGATGTTCATGCCCCCGTTTCCGATCACCCTGCGAGGTGCTGTAGTGACCCACCTCATTGATTTGTTGAAAATAGGATGCCCTGCAATCGCATGATTAGTTGATCGTAATTTATCATCTCAGATGCCTCTCAGTTTTGCACAAACCCATGCAAGGCACTCTGCTGGACGGCGCCGCATGCTGATAGTGAGGACAAATTTTGGTGATGGTAAGCGTGTCGAAACTGCGGGAAACCTGCTGTGGGTACTGCAAATGTAAAGCCACACAATGATACAACAATAGCATGCCTAATCTTGCCATGGCTATGAGAATGCACTTCAATACATTTTGCCCTGCATTGCATTGGCACATCATTGGCACGCATGTGTTCATTACTACGGGGTGAGAAGATGGACTTTCCCAGTACACACTTCCTTGGCTGGGCTGAAAATTGCGATACAGAATTAAGGATGACTTGGAGAGAAACATGGCATCTACTGGCTGGTTGAATATGTACTATATATGTACTCAAATAAACAGCGCTTTTGCGATGGGCTGAGTTCACCAGCCGAACCATTTGCGCAGTCTTTGCGTGCCATTGCTTGCCCTTGAAGAGACCGATAGATTGACAGATACGGGGAATTAATGAATTCATGAATGAGTGCAGAAGCCAACCAATTGGACATGAGAGATACTATTGGCAACTGCACCTTGTCAGTTTGCGCACTTTGGGGGGCATCGCTCAATCATGCTAGAATTTTGATATTCCGGGTGAAGGCTTACTTTTTTTGAGACCCGATTTGAGAAGAGAAAACACAGTTTCGCATGGGCCTTCCCTGAGCAGCTTATGGTGCCCCAATCAGAAGCACTTCGGTCGTGGCAGGATGACTTCGCTGGCTGCAAGGGTAAGGAATGCCGCTCGGCCAGCCCGGTGCCAACTATCCGGTGCGAGTAATGAGGCAAACTTTACACATACTGTATAATAAGTATATTATATATCTACATGCTCTATTTGTACGTTGTACTTATCTATATATGTTGAATGTATATATATATATGCATATAGTGCGTGTGTATATCAATTTTCACTTTCAGGGCATTCAAAAGGTCTCGCCTTTGCAGCCTCTGCACATTCTCGAAGTAGGAGAAAACTCCCAATCAACCTTGAAAATCTGGAAGCCACGGGGCGTTCTCATGCACAGTGGCGCAGTCACTTGCCACTTCATGGATCCAGTCACAAAAATGGAAGGGTGTTCACAAAACGAAATGCGGTGCGCCCGAAAATCGAAGGCTAACTCTTTGTGCACACTGGTGCGGAAGGCACCGCCAGAATCAAGGCCGATTGACTGCGTGTCAGGTTTCCGAGCAAATGGATCAGCAAAAGCATACAAATCCCGCAAAAAATGAGGGAGACGGAGAGTCAACAGTCCCGTTGGCTTCACTGAAGGCGCCGCAAAGCGCCAGTGCCCAATCTGATGCAATCGAATATCTGGGTGTTGTCCAAAGAGTTCCACAATGGCACTACGCCAAATAGAGGGTTGGTAATCATGAAAGGGAATGCCGGGATGTTCTTCAAGCAGCACACCACCATAAGCAACATGGCAAGCAAGCACCCAGACTGTCTGCAAGAAAAAACTGGTTCCCAAGCGCGTCTGCTGTAGTTCTCGCCAAGTGCGATGATCCAAACCAAACAACCGTCCAGCTGTCCGCAAGGGACGAGGCCACTTGATATGTCTGAACTCTTCTGGCGGTTCATGCCAGCGTGCGGATGAAAAAGTTTTGCAGGGGTGACCAGAAATAGTAGCCGAGATCAAACCCTGTTACTGTTGATACAGCTCCATCAAACACTTCCAGCTGACCGAAGAAACATCCAGGTTCCCGTGTATATAAATAAATAAATAAACAGATAAATAAATAGATATATAAATAAATAGATGAATAAATAAATAAACAGATAAATAAATAATAGATTAATAAATAAATGTAAATATATAGATAAATCAATAGATAAATAAATAAAAAATAGATAAATGAATAAATATATGATAATATTTGTACATATATAGTTACTAATAATAATAAGATGATGGGCTCATGGCACCACGGTAGTGACCAAGTGCTGGGGTGGGCAGCGGGATGTTGCGGGTGTTGCCACTGACAGGTAGTCTGGACAAGCAGTTCAAACTCGAGCTCTGCCAACAGCTCCCCAGTACTGAAGAATTCGGGGGGTAGTCCCAAGGAGCTTGGGAAGAAGGGGATGGTTGGATGAATGATTTGATGAAAGCAGCTAATTATTAGAAATGGTCTTCATTTCTCGTTTTTGTTGACTTTTTGGGTTGGTTGATGTAATTCCCACTAGCACTTCGGAAGATTCCAAAGGACATATTTTGGAAGACTCTCATGGACTTGGTGTGGGGCCTTCCGGACGTTGGCGCAGTGACTCCAACAATTTCCAATATCCTTTGGGTTTGGCTTTGGACTGGTTCTGTGAAAGGAACCAATCGAAACTTCGGCAAATTGGAGTTGATTCGCCTACTGCATCAGGCTTTCTGCGTGGCTGGGCTGGGCTGCTTGCGCCTTTGCATCATGGGAGGTGCGCTGAGTTGGTGAGGGTTGAGCTTCAGCCAATGGGGGTTCCCAGCCCATGGAATCCAAGGAATGGTGAGACCCTCAGATCTTCAATTAAGGTGACCAATGAGCGTCGCTTCTAGCGCCGAAGGCGAATGCAGGGATATGTCCCGAAATTTATATAGCAAAAACGCAAGGCCCTGTCTTCACAAAGCCCCAAATATGCTGAGATCAGGTCATGCCTGATCTCTAAATAGTTCAATCATTCTAAATATATACCATTAGAATTATATGCTCCATCACCTTTTTTAAGGTCATACATCGAAAGGAGATCATAAGGAGATCCAGTAGCACCCGGTCATCCCACATTGCCAGGTGATTTGTCGAAGCATTGCTTCCAAGCAGGAAGACCTAGTGACTTGGCGGTGGTTACCGCGGTCTGAGGCTCTGACAAGTCGGCTCCAATGAATATCAGAGGTATAAACAGTAAACATTCATATTCAAAAGGTAGATGTTATAACTGTTATAGTAGATGTTTATAGTATAATGATCTTTAAAAAATAGATGTTATAGCATAATGATGTATAATGATGTACAATGATGAAACTGATGGTAGCGACATGTAGCGACCTGGGGTGGATCATATGCCCATCAGATGTCTCTTTTTGCCGCTGAAACGCTGTCAAGGTACGCCACTTGAATGAGACGATGTTTGACTTTGCCACTTGGCCTCAGCTCCCTGGGAGCTGACAGCTGGTCAGCTCTAGATGGGTCACAATAGATGATATTTGATGAGATAGATGGATACATATATATATATATGTAAATATATATATATGTATATGTATATGTACCTATTTATATATATGTGTGTGTGCCTATGTATGTGTATGCTTGTTATATACTGAATGGACATCCAGAAAGAGAGAGAGAGAGAGAGATGGATGGATGGATGGATGGATGGATCGATCGATCGATCGATCGATCGATAGATAGATAGATAGATTAGATATATTAGATAGATAGATAGATAGATAGATTAGATTAGATAAGGTAAGATAAGATAGGATAAGATTGGATAAGATAAGATAACATAAATAGATAAGATCGATCGATCGATCGATCGATCGATAGATAGATAGATAGATAGATAGAATATCGATCGATCGATCGATAGATAGATAGATAGATAGAATATCGATCGATAGATAGATAGATAGATAGAAAGAAACAAAGAAAGAAAGATAGATAGATATATGTAAATGTCTATAGACATAGACATGATAAGCACTGAGCAACACATAGATGGGTTACTGTACTGTGCCCTGATTGAAGTCTGAAAAGTTTGGCCCCGGCTGAGGCAGATTGTCAGGTAGCGAGGCTACAGCCCATCTGCATCAATGGATGCCTTGGACAGCTGCCAGAGGATGCTGGAGATATCCTTTCGGTGGGTTTCTGATCTGCACGCGCGGTTTCCTTCGGACTGGACTTGGGTCTACTTGGGTCTTTTCACTTTTCAAGGTTTCCAGGTGTCAAAAGGCCGCAAGTGTCTAGGTTCATAGGATCTGTGATGATTCGGCCCAAGCATAGTCACTTAGTCCACGCAAAACTGTGGCCCAGGTTACCTGCAGAACGGAAAGAAACAAGGTGGCGCAAAGGCTGTGGCAAAGGCTCTCGACCCTAGGTGCCTCACATTGCCTCACCAGGAGATGTTGAATTGTGGATGCTCCGAGAGGATGAACAGATATGAACAGCATACTGTATGTGAAACTCAGCGGGGGAGAGAGAGAGATGCAATATGTATATGTATGTATATGTATATACGCATACACACCCATACATACATAGATATATAACTAATATATATATATATATATATATATACGCACGTACATATACATAGATATGATCACACAAATACATGTATATCATATATACTTGCATACGCATATTTGTATCTACGTTTGTGTCCATGTTTCTGGTCGCCAATGAAACATGTCCTCCTATCTTGTTCTTTCTGTTTGGCCTTTCATATCTTTCACCAGTCATTGATAGCTGGAAGCATGATGAAGCATCCTGTTGTGGATCCAGCCTCCCGATTCCCACAGGCGTCAACGTCTTGCCGAGTTTAAGCTTCAGGCGGGAACTTTTGTGCCAGTCATTGATTTCTTCGAAGATAGCCTTTGCCAGAAGGATCCAGAAAGGAGAAACATGGAGAAACCATTGGTTCAAGGTTATGTTCAGAAGTACTTCAGCCATCATCGAACAACATTGCCAGGACTTCACTTGTTTAGGTCCCAGTGTGCCCAGAGACACCTAGCCACAGGGAAGGACAGTGAAGGAGCAGCTTGACAAGTTTGTGGCAGACGCTCATAAGCGCGGGGATGTCTACATCATTGTGCCGGGGGCCCGGGATGACGTTGCAGTGATGCATCGATACCCTTAACCCTGTTAGTCAAAGCAAAGGTCCTGAATTATAGGTAATAGGTGTTTTCAACAAGCCAGTAATGCTTACTAGAAGATAGTATAAGATATGATAAGATATTTAAATGCAATTAAGGATGTCAAAGGCGCTATTTGGGCATTGTTGGGAGCTTTCCAGAAACATGTCTTTTTAATGCCTTGTTCCATCGAGAGAATTCAGATTAAAACTCTGATTTCTTTTGACAAACTAATTTTCCCTCTTGAAATGCCCATGCTCAAGTTAATGCCAGCCTTGTCCACGATTTAAATTCGTCATTCCACGACTCTGATTTGAGGTTATTCCGGGGTTTGTCCACATGGTGGGACAGGGTGGCACCAAGGTTTCGTTTTTGTCTTTAATAGAATAACCACATGCAACTAATAACATCTATTTATATAGTAACTAATAACATCTAAGAATTAACTAAAAATAATGAAATTATCTTGCAAGGGCCCAGTGAGTTTTCTATAGTTTTCTAGTCAAGTCCCTTCAACCTCACCCAATGGTCACAAGTAGCCTCCAGGCATGGGCACCCCTGTTTTTTATTGGTGAAAATATGCCAACATGGACGAACATTGACATCATTTGGTGGAGTTTTTTAGCAAAATAGTTTAGCAAATCTGTTGTTTGTGTACTGTATCTGCGTGTGAAAAAAATCTGAGTCCTGGACTTCCCATTCACCGCTGATATCATGGCAATAGATTCCAGTTTTGGAAAAGCTGGTCGCCATGCCGGATATGATGGATATGGATGTATTTGGTGCATCATCCGCATCGTCATTTTTTTTATCACCCACGTCATCCGCGTCTGATCCATCGGTCATCAACCCCCAGGCTCGATCAGCGCTTCTTTTGCCAGCAAGATGACTCACAGACTGGGCCCCTTCAATGGAGGACATCCGGTCGCCAGGAAACCCGGAAACCTGGAACTCCGCCCCAGATTTTTTTGTGGGATCAGGATTCTAGTAACGGAAGCCCTATGAAACACAACAGTGAAGTCTGTGTTTTTTAGTGACCGAGCATGGGTGGTTTCTGCCGGCCGGTGAAGGCATGTATCGCTTTTTGGGGGGTTGTCATGGTTTGTCTATATTGTTCAGTCTCCTACTCCGGATGATGATCTTGATTGAATCCATGAAGCCTCATGTAAATAAAATATGCAAGTTTTTATGTTCCTGCATATTTTCGAGAATGTTTGAGATGTGTGGCCTAAGCACGAAACAGAGAAGTGGTGTCAATTTCCATGGTTCGACCGGAGCCCTATCAGCCCATCCCAGAATCGGTTTAATTACCCAGGTTTGGAGGCTGGTTGGGTTTTCCAATGATTTATAATGATTTATACATTTGGGGAATCATGAGAAATGAGAAATCTATGATAATGATTTTGTCACCCCTTTCATCAAGACGTGGTATCCCTGTTTTTCCCGTAGATGTCATCTGCCAAGCGACACGACAGGAGTAAAACCATCTTGCTACGCCTAGAGATGCAGATGCAAACGCGGATGGCAGCGCTTCAACTTTTATTGGTGGATTTTTCGGATTTTCCATTTCTAGTACTTTAGCAGAGGGTAGCCCAAGAAGCTGAACAAATCAACAGGAGGAATCATAGACGATCCCAAATCCTTTGGTTGAAGAGTTGGTGCTTCATGGCTCGTGGTTCGTCACAGTTCGTTGTTCGCACCTGGGAGATGGTCGGGCTCCACGGCTCCACCAAGGCGTTTGGATCAAGTCGCGGCGAGTAGGGCATAGCAAGGCATAGGGCAAGATGACAACTGGATAAATATGGGTTTGTCTGAAAATAGTGTACCCCTACACCCAATGGTTAATATATCAGTATCCCTACTAAATGGCTATAATTGGGGGTATGCCCCATTTTCAGACATACCCATATATTCCAGATGCATGTCTCGAAGGCGTTTGTATGAACTTCGTTATCGATTGAGGATTGACATTTGGAAAACCTCAAATCTAGGGAGGCTGGTATCCTTGTTCAGCCACCTTCGCAACGAAAAATTGCCGTCCGATAATGTGTGTGTGTGCCAATTTTCTTCATTATCTTCAGTTCCCATGTCAAGTTGGTTTTTGATATCCCCATTGTATCAACTGCCTATTTGATCTCCCCATTATATCGGCTGCCCGGCCACATCCCCATCCCAAGTCTATCCCCATCCTTCAGTCGGTGCCTTCAACGGCAAACCGCACCCAGGTGCAATTGGACTGGACCGCGCCCAGCACGGAAGACTTGGACCTCTGCGTTCGAGGCATTAATCTTGCAGGAGAGGAGGTGGCACAGATGCGCTTGTCCAAGGAGGACCGTCCTGGCAGCAGGGAAAGGCGCGATAGAGGGATATAATTATAATATGATACACTGGTGATAGAACAAGATGCTAAGATGGCTATGGGTCAAAGCCCATGGTGCTTTGCTCGTTTTGACCCCAAACTAGCTGGTAGATGTGATAGTTGTGGATGTTCATTCCCCCATTCAAATGGCATTGTATTTCATAGCTTTGACCCTCATTTGTGTGCTTCCTATGGATCCGGTCTTGCAGGACGCCTTTGGTCTACTTCGTGCCACTTGCCTCAAGATCCTGCCGCAGTGGGTGCGATATGGTCTGTGATGATATTCACTTCCATCGGGTTGGAAGTTAGCCACCGTCGTAGCACACTTGTATACATTGTATACATTTGCATCTTTATCCCGCCCAAGAGATACGGCGACGTTGTTTTGAATTTTCAGTTGCATGCCAGTAGCTGAAGTTACACATGCACAACCCGCCCTGCCAAAAGTTGCCGTCCCCGTCCCCAGGACGGAGTTGCAAAAACACTGGGGAAGCTTTGCTGCAGCCGCACGCGCAGCCGCGCGCGGGAATAGCTGCCATCCAATGGCGATAGTCACTGATAGTCAGATAGTCCTGGAAAAGCTTCAGCAGTCATCAGCCACCACCAATCAGATGTAGATAGGTGATGATAGACGATGGGCAGATAGGTTTCAGGATGTTTCAAACCTAAATCGGTAAATGTCATGGCGGGAGGCCAGACCATGATTTCAACAATCTACGAGTTGTACTTCCTTTTTTCCGTGTCGGTCCAATGACTAATGAAGCTAAGCAGATCTGTCACTATCCAGTAACACCCCAGAGACCGAGACATGCGGAGACCCCCCAAGATTCTGACCAGTTGACGTCAAGAACTGCAGGCTTGTGCAAAGTAAAGCCACGTGAGTCTATACTTTTTATATATACCCTCTGGTAAACTAACATGGCTATGGATAATCACCATTATTAATGGGTAAATCGACTATAAATGGCCATTTTCAATAGCTATGTTAGTTTACCAGAGGGTACATGCAGCTGCAGTAGTAGACTGCTAGCCGCTGGTTTTCTGCCAGAAAGTGTGGGCCGGCGAGTCGGCAGTGGACATTTGAGGCAGCATAGTGACAAGCTGTGCATGGTTTTACCTGATGGAACCTATGCGTCTGCAGATATGGACAGCAAGACAATGATAGAAGCTGCTTGGTCGCATCCAATGTCCCAGCAAGTCAAGACTCAAGACGGCGGCCCACATTTGACAGCAAAACAGTCGGAATCTGACAGTGAACACCCACTTGAAATTTGTAATCAACCCTGTTACTGATCAGCAATTGCAAATAATTGCAGGTTTCTAGAACATTGTTTTTGTGTTTGTTTTCCGGTGGGGTGCAAAGTTGGCAGTTTTATAAAGACGCTACGCTTCCTCAGCAGACCCCGGAGTTGGATTGTTGGGCCGTATGTTGGAATGCGGGTGCCATCCAAGTTGCTTCAGTTCCAGTATGATCAGTATGTTCCAGTGCTCAGACTCAGAATCTCGCTCATGTACCTGCTTGGATCTTCAAACGCCGCTGTTGCCTTTTTTTTTTGCGGGATCGCTTAAGAAAAGTGGCCTTTGACCCAAAAAGTACATGTTTGATCATTTTTGTGTTTATTGTTGGTTTCTCGCGTTTTGAACCTTTCGGCCCCTGGGAGAAGCGGGCCGTATGTTGAGGTACTCATTGAATGATTATCTATCCCCACTCGCCGGAAGCACCAGAAATGTCACTGCATGATTGTGTGAATTGCAAAACCACCAGCCGCACAAAAAAGCACGCGCACACACACAAAATAATAAGACGGACCAAAAAATACAGCGGAAGCGTTGGATAAGAATCGGATAGAAGCGGCTAAGAATTTGTCCAGCCTACCCTGGGGTTCTTAAGTGCTATAATGATATGGGAATTGTGAACGAGGATATCCTCAAGTTCTTAAGGCTTAGTTCTTAAGGGTACATATGGTGAGGGTTTTGCGTTTTTTTTTAGTGATTTCTCAATTAGCAGTCGGTAAATAGTGCCTCCAGAGAAAGCTCTGCAAGCAGCAAAGAGCCGAAGAAGAGGAGAAGCCAAGGCAGGGACGGGTTTGCTATGGGTTTGGGTTTTTTGGGGTTGGTGAGAGCACAAAAAAACAGTTAGCGCCTTTTTTTTTCAATATATATATATTTTAAAACAAGTGTGGAAATATGTTAAACCATAGTGTCAAGGCTTGAAACTTCATTTTGGGCTGATGATAGGTTCGGAAAAGAGTTGGTTGGAGAAAACACTTTTTTGGGCCCAAAAAGTCTTTCCGGGCGCACTGGTTGAGGGCCAGATATTCCAGCATGCTAGGGGTTGAAACTTCATTTTGAGCCCACATTGAAATCATGCGCTGATCATTCCAGATCTGACAAATCAAATTCACATACCCTTGTTTTTGAAAGCTGTTTTTGAGCCGCGCCCTGGCCAGGTGGAAAAGAAGCTCCAGAATCAGAAGCCCCGACAGAATATGCATTTACCTGTATCAATAGTTAATATTTAGTTTGAACATTGATAATGTCAGTAATGCAGTTTGGTAATTGTTTGGTAGCATAAATTTCACCTGCTAAAGGGTAAGAACCAGTGGCGAGAATTCCAGGGCACCCTCGGGTTCTTATTTCAATTAGCCGACAGAAAGGGTTGAATCCAGCAATCCAGCCCCTGAACTTCTTAATGCAGTAGGTTATTAACAGTGGTTTCACTGTACCCCAAACGCACTCAAAATCGATCAAACCGACTCAAAACCAGAAAAGTGTTTGTTTACATCCGTGTGATTATCTTGCAAAACAGTTTTTGTGTGTGTTTGTTCTGTTTAGACAGGGGGGATTGGTTCCTGAAGACTCCAAAACAGTGTTCGTTCTGTGTAGACGCGGTTCCCTCTACCCAAGAAAAATAGGTTTACGTTTACTTTTGCATTTGGTATCTCGCACCGTTATTTCATGTTATTTCGCCAAACTCAGATCGCTCAATTATGATCAAAACGCACAAAATAGAACTAGGGTAAACATGGGTGATACCATAGCGCTCACAATAACAGGACTGCAGATCTTATACATCTTACATGTCTCTTTACATGATAATTGGATGTAATTGGTCCCAGCATCACTGAGGTTCTCACTTGAGCTGCGGACCCTGGCCTCCGCATCTAGCTGTTTGAAAGGATTCAAAGGATCCGGATTTTACGTTTCAGGATGCAACACCTCAACCAGCGTCCAAACGGGCCTAAGGAGGGATCCGCTATTTCATGGGTGGCATTTCCTGGATGTTTCTGACATTTTCTGATGCTCGAAATGGGAAAGGTGCTGTGAATTGGGAATTTTTAGTGACGGAGTGCTGGGCAATGGACGGGCATGTCCTCTCCAGGGACTGCTGGACGCTCCACTGTTTTGCATGAAAAAAATAGGGGTTGGGCCTGGTTGGCACATGTTGGCACTTTGACTAGGGGTAGGAGCCCTTCTGGAACCTGTCCAATGCCCACCAGATCCTACTCATTATCATTCCACATCCTTGATGTTTCAAACGGGAAAGTCCGAACACTGAAAGACCATCGAACACCATTGGAAATTTGTATCACATTGTCTTATATAACCTTTCACGTGGATCCGGAGAAACTCTTCAGTGTTGGGACGTGCCCGAAACGCGATTTTTGAAAATCAAAGCAGTGACAGTGACAGTTCTTCACCCAGCCATGCCTCTCTGGCTGGGCGCCATCAGCTATACAGGTGAGGTTGTTGGAAGAAGAGTCGCAACTGGTTGATGGTTTCCTTGGGATCGTCGTTTCCGTCCCTGTCATGATTTGCAACGCCGAAACCACCCACCAGTGGTGTGATTTCTGTACGTTCTCCAATTTTTCTGAACGGAGAGGAAATAGAGGAATGCCGTGACAACTGGTGATATCTGGTGATATCTGGTGATTAGTCGACTGGTTTTGTTCCAGGAAGTTGGGTTATCAGAGGCAACAGGACTCGTCTCAAGACCTTAATGATCTTAATGGTGCGCTCAAATGATGCTGGCTGCACTACCGCAAGGCATCCCGAAGCTCCAAGCATTTGCCGTTTGCCAATATGTTTCAACCGTGTTTCAAACTTGAAACTCTACAGAGTAGGAATTCAAGTCTCCGAATGGGCGGGGCTGCCGTACGCTTCAACTGATCATTTTTGGGGTGTAGTGTTGTTGCAAAATTCAGAATACACAAGCTTAAGTCTCATGAAGCCTCCGAACGCAAAGCAGGAACGACTTAAAGACATAGTCCCAGTCCCAGTGTGCAATTTAGACGACTCCAATTTTCCGTGAGATCGTCTAGGGCGGCCGTTCTCACCTCAGACCACTCGAAGGGGAATTGATATCCAACAAACATGGGGGTATGCACATTCAGCAACCAACACTGGGTCCATGTTAATGGTTGGGAAAATCTCACATCTTTGCTGAATACCTAAGATGAATTCAGAAGTAAAGACTGACATCCCAAGTCTGGAGGTTTCACACGCGCCGAGAAATACATAGAAATATAATATATAATATATATAGAAATTCTATATTGGGATTTCACATGATCATGATTTCGCAATCTTTTTCACTATGTCTCGAGTGCATCCAATGCCCGGCCTGCGAAGCGCGTACGGAAGTCCTTGGAGGAGCACCGCCCGTGCCGAATGCAGGCAGTCACCTCTTGGTCCAAAGACCTTGGGCTTCAAAGCGTCGAAATGTGCCACCAAACCAAGCAAGAAATATCATCCCACACACATAATCATACTGTATATCTATATGCTGCATATTTATATACATACTGTACATATATAATCATATATGTATATGTGTAATATAACTCCATTTTGATCTCACTGAATACTTGACTTGCTTGACTGTCGGAAGCGGTTTGCGCCCCAGGCATATCCTTGCCGGATTCGCTGGCCAGCATCATGCTGGAGCTATGGAAATATATGGAAATTCCCATCCGGGATGGCCATTGATTTTGGACGTCGCCAGTAATTACTCCTAATTTGTTGAAATATGGATGCTGCCTGTTGACCCTGGGCGGTGATTCGCGACTGTTTTGGCAGGGAAAGCCATGGAAAAAGATGCGACAGTGAACACACTTGATAAACACCGAGAGCAAAATGGGAACTTAGATGAACTTAGTATCTTTTATTCTCTAGGTGTGCCAAGGATTTTCAGTGAGGATGACTTCCCAGAGCCAACTGGCCGAAGAATCACCTTGCTCAGAAGGCTGCAGCGCAGCAAAGGGCCTTGCCAGCCAGA